GGAGAGGAGAGGAGAGGAGAGGAGAGGAGAGGAGAGGAGAGGAGAGGAGAGAAATGAGGAAACTCAGGCTCAAAGAGGTGAGGTAACATAACCTGTCAGCCTTGTCTATGACTTGAATGAGCCTCCCTCTTCCCATGCCAGAAACTGACCCCAGGGCCGCAGCGTGGGGAGGTGACCAGCTCCTGAGGTTAGAAGACTAGGCTCCTGGTCCCCAGAACTGAAAGCAACACAAATTTCTATGAAGCAGCCAGGCACAGGTACTGCCGGCAGCTGGCAGCATACCATACTCTCTACCACAGTGCAGGCAGCAGAGGTGGGGAGTGGGCCCTGCTCCACGAAGGCCACACAACAGGAGGCCACCCAGCGAGTGCCACGGCTCCCAAGGGCAGGCCATGCCCCCCCAAGCCTCTGCCCACTCCCTCCCTCCCTCCCCTCCTCAGCCCACCCAGTCACATGCCCTACAGGGCGATGTTCCAGCTGGGACACCTTTCTGGGTCTCTGTCCCAGCAGTTCTTTCTGCACACTGTCATGACCCAGCCCCCTCTTGTTCTGCACCCACCTCACCACAGCCTGCGACTGCACTGTCCCCACTCCTCACAGAAGGCAAAAGGCCCCTGAGGCTGCACTCTGCTTCTGATTTCCTTGCCACCCACAAGATTCTCCATGCACTCCTCACAGAAGGCAAAAGGCCCCTGAGGCTGCACTCTGCTTCTGATTTCCTTGCCACCCACAAGATTCTCCATGCACCAGAGTGGCCTGTTGGCAAGTGGCCCCTGTCTCGTGGGTATTATTAGGCCAGATCCAAGTTCAAGCACCCACTGCCACTTGTGTGAGACTGGGGACAAGTTCCTGAACCTCTCTGAGGGGCTCCCTCTTTCCCACCTGCGCAGGAAGATGATCACACCCGCCGGACACTCAAGCACAAGCTGTGGCAGAGGTCCAGCCACATGGGACCCCACTCTTGTCACCAGGCTCACGGAAGATTACTTGTCATTTAACAGACACTTTGTGCTGGCTCCCAGGAAGGCAGGCATGATGCTGGACGTGGGGACGCAGCGGCCAGCTCAAGGAGGCATCTGTACTGCCGAAGGGCAGGCGCCGCACAACACCACCCTGGATACCCAGCAGCACCATTATTCCAGGCCAGAGACAGGAAACCAGCGGCCCATGGCTCAGCACAGCCAAACCAGCTTTGTTTGAACTGAACAGCATTTTTTAAGAAGTTGCCTCCGTTTCCCAATGTGGGGATCACACACACACAAATTTGGATTTGCAGGTTCTCTTGGTAAGGGAGGACTCACTACCGTTCTCAAGTGAGGACCCAGCCGGAACCAAACGGCACGCACCCCTCCCGGGGAGCACGAGCTCACCAAGCTCCACAACTCCACCGCTCCCGACAGCCGCACACCAGCCTCGCCGCACCTACCCACTCATGCACCTCAGTGGCCCACAGAAGATGTGTGTTTGGGCCCACAGAGCCAGATGCTTAATCAGCATTGGACAGAATGAACAGAAGCTCAGTACTCACCCTGTGGCTGTCTCGAGCCCTCGGCGCCCACCAGTTGGGTCCCACTCCGGCCTCCAGAGTCTCCCCAGGGAGGCTGGTCCTCACTCTCGGCTGCTCACGTCTCCTCTGTCTGGCTTCCTGCATGACGCTCTGACCCTCTCGGACTCTGGCAGGGAGGCCTTTCTCTGAAGAGGCTCTCTTGATGTCCAGCACTGATCTTCTGCACTCAGGGTGGGGGTCACCCCGCTGGGCCACACTGTCCTCTCCTTGCCAGGTGAATTTTCTCAGGGCCCCTTTATTCTTGTCAGCAGGAGATTTGGGGGTCAGTCTCTCCCCACTGCCTGGGTCTTCCCCCACAGAGGGCTTTGCCTCTACCAGGTAATTCTGAAACTTTGTGTCATGGCGGTTGCTATCAAAGGCCTTGTTCTCATTTTCTGAGACTCCTGTAACTTTCTTCCTGGGTCCAGCGGGGATGGAAGACACCACGGAGTAACTATCAGCAGGAACCGCATGTGGCAGAGCCCACAAGGGACAGCTGGACTTGGGGGATCCAGGACCCCCCAGGGTCTCTGCCGGCTGCTTGCCTGAGCCAGGAGTTATGGTACCGTGGCTTAGATTCGGGCTGATAGCCTGTTTCTGAGAAGCCTCCCCACTGGGAGTCTCCTTGGGGCTCCTCCTTTCTCTGTCCACCCTACTGAGCCAGCCTGGTGTCTCCCGAGGCGAGCCACTGAGCTCCATCGTGGGGCTGTCTCTGCGTGCCCAGGCCTCCCCACGGACTTTGGTGGACTGCTCTTTGTACTCAGCCATCAGGGCATCGATGTCAAGAACATTGGCCCTATAACCACCTTTCATTTTGCCCGGGAATGTCTCACTGTCCACCACTGTCCTCCTTCTGATCAGCAGACTGCTGGGTCTCTGGTGACTTCTCAGATTCGGGGGAGTTTGGGGAGCACTGCTGGGGGACATCCTGCTGCCACTGTCCTTCCGGTCATTCTGAACACTCATGCCTTCTGCCTGCTGAGTCCTCACGGCATCCATAGTGACAGTTCCTTTGCCAGAAGGGTCCAGACGCCGGTTTCCCACAGAGGACAGACGGTCTAATGACTTCAGATTTGTTGAAGTGTCCATGGCTGGCTCCCAGTCTCTTCCTGGAGCCCAGGCTTTATTGCCTGCAGAAGTCCCTGGCTCTTCCTGACTAGGAGACAACACAGCAGTGACAAAAGGCTGAGGTGATGGAGTCGGAGCTATTTTTTGAGGATGTTCCACTGAATTCTCAGGCCCTGACTTAACAATACTCTTTGCCTTTTGAATATCAGGAATCTGATAAGTGACTGCAAAAAACATTGCCTTGGGTTCCACAGATGGTCCTGGTTTTGTGCCCGGGGAGGTCCAGCCCTGTGGAGCACCTGGGGCCACATCTTGTGTTCCCACATGACCCTGACTGTGAGACAGTTGAAGTTTTCTTAAGGCACTGGCTGTGGGGCTCAAGGAATCTGTCTGTCTCTGATCTACTTTTGAAGAGTTCTCTGGAAGGAGGAGGCTGAATGCCTCAAGTTTTGCATCATGGGGTAAAGTCCGCCGCCTCCATCTATCCATCCTTGGGTCTGTGGGGCTGGCTTTCGGCGCTCTGGCCTCGGGCTCCAACCTTGCAGCCCCCTTGCTGGCAGTCCCAAGAGGTCCTTTCTGCACAAGAAATGCCTCTGGGTGTGCCTGAAGCTGGGAGCCAGAGAGCTCAGACTTGGCCCTGGCGGCAGGAGGGTCCTGAGCACACCCTCCGGGTAGGCCTCTCGCTGCTGCAGAAATGGGGCCTCTTGGCTCTTTTCTGACCCCAGGCCCCTGGTGCTGGCCTTCCCAGATGGGAACCTTGACAGCCCTCAAAAAAGTGTCCTCTGGAGTGCAGGGCTCTGTGCTGGCCACCACAGGAGCTTGATGCCAGTTCACCACTGACCCGTCTGTCCTTGTGGGCGGTGAGCAACTATCCCCAAATGTGTCCTTTGGCTCACGGGGGTCAAGTTTTGGCCCAGTGGCCTCCTGCCCTCGAGCTTCCCAAATCAGACTGGCCCTCTGGACAGACCCTGCCTGACCTTCCAGAGGGTGCTCCGGGCTGGCAAGGCTGACCTCCTGTGACAGCTGCCTCCCCTTCAGTGAGAACTGGGACCTGCGGAGCGTCACAGCCTGTTCCCCCAGCAAGGTGGGGACAGCCTCACTGTGTGCACGTTCCCCCACGGTGTGCACAACATCAAATCTGGGCTCAATCCTCTGCGATGTGAGAGGATTTTCAGTGGGCTTAAGGAAGGGGTTATCTCGGTTTGTGTCACCTGCAGGGTATTTATCTGGGTTGGGCGTGCCGTATTGTCTCGGCTCATCATCCAACGCGGCAGCTCTTTCCAGCTTTCCCGGCTCAGGACTTTCAGGCCATCTGGAACTCTTCCTCCTGGGGTTTGTCACTTCTGGTGGGTCTTTCCCCATCCAAGGGCCTTTTTCAGACCTGGGTGTGGGCTCAGAGACATGGCTATCATGAGAGGTTCTGTCTGCGAGACCACGTCCTGACTGGTCTGCCACCGTGTGTCTCTCCACGTGATGCTCAAACACTGTGGCCCACACCATCTGGAAGTTTCCATCATCTTCTGGAGTGACTTCAGAGGGGCCAGGAGCCCGCCCTGAACTGTCACCCAGATAGCTGCCAGAGTCCTGTTTAGTGCTATCTTTGTGTTCCGCCTGTCTGCATGGCTTTTGGGGCACTCCAGGCTTCCAAGGGCCACTGGGGGCAGGTGCTCGGTCCAAACTGTGTCCTGCCTTTGGCCGAAAAAATAAGCACAGCAGTGTTAAAAATAAGCATAAATATGGAAAGGAAGGGGTAGGGAGATAGCTCAGTGGAATAAGTGCCTGCCTGGCAAGTGCAAGGGCCTGAGTTTGATCCCTGGTACCACCAAAAAAAAAAAAAAAAAAAAAAGATAGAAAGAAAGAGGCAGGTGTGGTGACCCAGCTGACTGACCATTACAGCAGTGAGAGTAATGAATTTCAAGACTCATCACAGCCAGTGAGGGTGACAGCGTGTGAAAGAAGATGCCCTCACATTCTGCCGGAGAAAACACGAACGGGGACAACTAAGGGATCATACACTCCCTCTCATGATTTTAAAATGCTCACTTGGCCAAGTTCTTCCCAGGACTTTTGCTTTACCCACGTGCACAAGGGAACGTGAGCAGCAAAGTTCAAGGAGCCCTGCGCTGTTTCTGAAAGCAAAGCAGCCCAGAAACAACCTAAGTGTCCACCCAAAAGGGCACTGACTACGCAAACTCTGCCGTGTCCAAACAAGAGGCACTTGTGACTGCAGGAGGAGAGGAAGAGGAGGAGGAGGAGCAGGAGGAGGATCAGGAGCAGGAGGAGGAGGAGCAGGAGGAGGAGGAGGAGCAGGAGCAGGAGGAGGAGGAGCAGGAGGAGAGGAAGAGGAGGAGGAGGAGCAGGAGGAGAGGCAGAGGAGGAGGAGCAGCAGCAGCAGGAGGAGGAGGAGCAGGAGGAGGAGGAGCAGCAGGAGCAGGAGGAGGAGCAGGAGGAGGAGCAGGAGGAGGAGCAGGAGGAGGAGCAGGAGGAGGAGCAGGAGGAGGAGCAGGAGGAGGAGCAGGAGGAAGGTCTCAGTGACACTGATATCTACAGACACCTACAAAATACTATGGTCTCATGAGAAGCAAGGCAAACTGCACAATAGTGCATTAATAGTATAAGAAACATTTTTAAAAACTAATCATGTTGTCATAGTTTTTATCTGGATGTGTTCCGTCCCACCTCCAAAGCCTCACATGCTCACTGGCATGGCTTTTGGAACATGAGTAGATTGTGGGGGTTTATAGCTGATTTGCTGCAGGGAGGGATACTCCTTACAGTCACCGTACAGGGAACAACTCCACTGTCCATCAGTGGACGGACAAGCCGTGGCTCATTCACACAGTGGGATGGTATTCAGGTGCACAAGGAGAGAGCGCCCATCTGCTATTACGTGAACCTTGCAAGTGGTCTCTCTCTTTCTCTCACAGAAAGATGGACCTTGAAAACATTACGCTGGATAAGGGCCAGCCAAATAGCCCAGCAGATTAAGGCACCTGCAAGCAGGCGCAAGGGCCAGGGGTTCGATCCCCAGGCCTGCCATGCCAGCCCCACCCCCAGGGCACGCTGAGATAGCAATTGAGACTGGGCATGGTGGCGCGCACCGTAATCCCAGCTCTTGGGAGGCTGTAAACAGATGAATCACTAGGAGTCTGATCTAGTAGTGAGACCCTGAACACCCTGTAGACCCTTCCCTAAAATACAAAAAAAAAAAAAAAAAAAAAAGAAGAAAGAAAGAAAGAAAGAAAGAAAGAAAGAAAGAAAGAAAGAAAGAAAGAAAGAAAAAGAAAGTGAAAACATTACGCCGGATGGAAGCAGCCAGTCGCTAAGGCTACGTGTTCTCTGACTCCCTGTACGTGGGCTATCAAGAGCCAGTGAATCCAGAAATAGAAAACAAACTCGTGGCTGTCAAGGGGGGGGGGGGCTTCTCAGGAACTTCTATAGGAACTAGGTCGGCCGATGGTTGCTTGGCACTGAGAATGTTCTCAGTGCACTTGAAAAGTTACAGTGCAGGCAGGGCCAGAGTTTGCTAAGCCCTATTCTAGATGATGGGACAAACGCTGAAAGTTTTTAAAAATGTATTGATATTTAAATTTGATTTCTACTTATATAAAGTAGACATAAAAAAAAACCCATGAATCCATTCTTAGCACGAAGGAATGTAAGTGATATAGACAAGATTCAAATCCTTTTTGTTTCTTCATTAAATACCAGTCCCCTTTGGATAACAACAAAGAGATATATGTCTTCACAGATGTACATATGTGTATATCTATACATATATGTATGGACTAATATATATTTCAATATTATATATATATGATGGGGTATTTATACTTGAAGATATATATAAGCATATTAGCATATATCATATAGTTTGTTTTATAAATTGAAAAATATACCTATCACCCTAAAGAAGTTAAAATGGCATATTTTATATTATGTAAGTTTTTTTTTTTTTTTTTTTTTTGAGGCAGGGTCTTGCTATGTAACGCAGGCTGGCCTCAAATTTATGGCAATCCTCCTGCCTCAGCTTCCCAAGTGCTGGGATTACAGGACTGCACTACCATGCCCAGCTTTATGTGTATTTTACCGTAATCACCAAAATTTTTCTACTTGTAGAAATGCAATCTTGATGTATTTAAATTAAGGGCTTATCTAAACCTTTTCTTTCTTTCTTTCTTTCTTTCTTTCTTTCTTTCTTTCTTTCTTTCTTTCTTCTTTCCTTCTTTCTTCCTTGTTCCCTTCCTTCCTTCTTTCTTCCTTATTTTTGGTAGTGTTGGAACTTAAACCCAGGACCTCACACATCACACACATCCTCTACTACTAAGCGGCTCCCTAAGCTCCAACTTTTCCTTCCTTGAAATTTTTTGAACACATACAAATGACAGAGGAAACAACAAACCTGCCCCTGCCCCAGATTTCAGAAGAGTCAACCTTCCACCCTTGAGCTTTTGGAGGTGGTACTGTGTGAACATGGGGGCTTTTCTTCAGTTTAACCCCTTTTCAGCCTGCCAGTTTCTTTTTTTTTTTTTTTCCAGCGGAACCAGGGATTGAACTCAGGCCCTTTGTGCTTGCCAGGGAAGTGCTTATTCTACTGAGCCATCTCTCCGGCCCCTCCACCAGTTCCTTTAAACATAAAACACACCTTTGGCAGGATCCAGCTGTTCCTCTCCTAGATATTTACCCAAGAGAAAAAAGTACAAGTCCCTACAACACAGCCTGTACACACGTGATCAGCCCAGCTTCATCCCTAACAGCTCCAAATTGGAAACTGCCCAAGTCAGCAAAAGGGTGGAGGGAATTAGGCCATGGTGGCACTTGCCTATAATCCAGCACGCTGGGAGGCAAAGCAGGAGGACTGCATGTGCGAGCCCAACCTGGGCAACTTAAGGACTTAATTGAGGTCCTGTCTTAAAATGAAAAACAAAAAACAAAAGGCTCTAGATGGAGTTCAGTGTGAAGGTCCTGGCTTAACTCCCAGTACTACCACACACACAAAAAGGTGAATGGACAAACACTGTGCCCCCCCTCACTGGAACAGCCTTCAGCGATGAAAAGGGATGAATGATGTCACGCACTGTGACAAGCCGGCTAATGACTGCGAGTGAAGCAAGGCCAAAACAGAAGTAGCTGGCTCCACTGACGCAGAAGTCCAGAAAGCGCAAAGATGTTTAGAGCGACAGAAAGTAGACAAGGGCTGGTTGGGCACAGGTGGGCAGCAGGGGCACAAGGACCAGGAGGGCGTGTGTACCCGGGGTGCGGATGGCCGTCGTCGTGACTGTGGCAGAGGTTTCCCAGATGCACACATGTGGAAACATGTCCACTTTCATGCATCAAGCATGTGCTTGTTCTGCATGTCATGTGTCCCCCCCAGTGAAGCTGTTTTCTAAGAAAATTAAAGCCACAAAAAAGCATCAAGCACAGCCCAGTCAGCCCTAGCAGTCACTTTATGAGCATTTTTCTATTAAACAGATGAAATAAAAACATTTTCTAGCAAGGCTTAGTGGTGCAGGCCTGCAATCCCAGCACTCAAGAGGCAGAGGCAGGACAGTAAGGCAAACTCACTCTCTGAGAGTTTGAGGACAGCCTGGGCTACAAAGTGAACTCAAGCCCAGCCTAAAATGCATGGTGAATCTCTGTCTCAAAAAGACCAAAAAGAAACAAAACAAAAAGCAACAACAAATTTTCTAAGCAATATCTTTGCTGGTAAATTTCTTCTTTCTTTTGTCAGGTTGGGGCCGGGGAGCTAGCTCAGTAGAATAAGTACTTGCATGGCAAGCGCAAGGGCATGAGTTCAATCCCCAGCTCTGCCAAAAAAAAAAAGACCTTACTCTCTCTGTCAGGTGGGGTGAGGGGGAGAATAAGAATCCTAACAAGGAACTGGAGGGAGTTTGTATCAACATTTTAAACTGAACTCTTAAATGTTTTAATAAAACAGGAACTCATATAAGCAAGCTGTACCATTCTACTTCTTTACACAGAAAAAAACAAAAACAAAAACAAAACAACAAATACCTAAAAATGCCTGATGATTATGTTTACAAATCACCTGACACCTGGGACTGGAGAATCACAAGTCACATTGCCAGGAGGGATGGGAGGCCCCAACCGCAGGGTTGGTGGGGGTGGGGGGAACCACCTTCTTCCCCAGGACTGATGCTCTTTGTCTGAGTCCAGCAGGTCACAAGGAGACCTGAGGACAAGGCCCCTGCTCACCTTCTCACTTGGCTCCTTAGGACACTGGCCGCCCAGCACAGCGTACTTCTCATACCTGAACTCATTGCTTGGAGCCGAACTTGAAAACCTGGGAAAGAGATCTGAGTTACTCACAGGGAGCCAGAGGGAGCCAGAGAATTCCCCCAGCCTACACCCTGGCCCCAGCTCAGCAGGCTGGGACCCAGCACGGCTTGGTCATCCTGGAAACCACGCTGCCCCATTTCCATTGAGGACATTTCCTTTCCTGGCACCAAGTGGAGAGGGCTGGTGGGAAAGCCTACCTCAAGCAGAGCATCGTCCAAGTGGAAGGAGCCCCAGGCTGGGTGAAGATGCCTGGCTTCCAGTCCCTGCTTCACCACCTCATTGTAGGAGCTTGGGTCAGGCCCATGACCTTCCCTGAGCCTCTGTTTCTTCATCTATAAAATGAGGATAATTGGTACCTCCCCACCCTCTTTTGTGGGACAGATAAGAGGCTATCCATGCCTCTAATAGCTACGTGAAGGCGTTCAGGAAAGAATGAAGATGTCCCTGGAAGGATAATTAATGGTTCTTGTTAGTACCCCAGCCACAACAATCACCCTGCCACAGGCAGCCACAAGACTTGGGCCGTGGGTTGCCATGGAATATGTCAAATCTGCCTCTCCCTCTGTGGGTGAGCAGGGCCAAGTTGAGTGGGGTCTTTCCTCTCTGTGTTCCAGTTTCCCCAGTTAGAAAGGGTAAGAGAAAAGAGGGATACAATTTTTCTATCTCTGATGCGTTGTCTGATGTGTAACAGGTGGTCGGTTCAGGCCCAGAAGCACTGAAGAAAAAGGTGTGGAGGAAAACCGGAGCACTTGGCCTCGGCCCCCACTCAGGGGTTCAGTGTCCGCTTTCTAGGAGTGATGAGGTGGAGAGGAGCTGTTTCTGAACTCAGAGCCTCAGTTTCCTCATCTGTCAGATAATCACACAGCCCCTCTGGGGCTCCTCAGTCATAGTCAGAATGAGGTGTGTGAGGTCCCCACACCCACGCCTTCTACAATGTCTTCGCTCAGAGGGTGTTAGGCCTGGCCACACCATTTTCACTTGGAAGCTTTTAGAAGCTACCCATATTCTCTCTCTCTCTCTCTCTCTCTCTCTCTCTCTCTCTCTCTCTCTCTCTCTCTCACA